CATACCAAATCTGCAAAAGTGGTTCATTCTTTCCTTGCAGCTTCATACTATTTTAAATGCATGTTTATTGCACTGCATTTTTGCTAGCAAGTGGAGGTATGTATGTGTTTGAAAGTTACTGTACATTTTAATTAATATTAGTGATTCCACAGTTGTGAGCTACCCTTCCTGTAAACCTCTGCATGGTAGCAGTGGATTTGTCATCTGTCCTTACTGCATGAAATCATCTAATCTCTTACGTATCCTTGAACCAAGTGCTAACAAATAAATACTGAAGTGTTGACTTTGGGCACACTGAAGATTTCATGAAGAATGCCTTTTGTAGCTGATGACACACTGCCAAATTCAGCTCTTAATAAAAGCTTTCTTAGGACTGCCTGGCTGTGTTGATTGCACACAGCTCAACTCTAAAGGGAGGGCTTCTTGTTTTGCCGAATGTGCTAGTAACTGATTCTAGCTATACAATAAACACCTAATTTCCTTAAAAGAGGAATGGTCTCAGTTTGTTTCCTAAGCAGTGTTGTTTCTTGAAGGTTCTGCCTTTGCACTGAAGTGATTGATTTTTCTTGCTTCTCATCTGGCTGATGGGTTTATAATTTTTTCTGTGTACACATGTACTTAAGTTTTTGAGTACCTTTGCTCTGTTTGAGTAGAAAGCACAGTGGAGTCCTGACTCTGCTGTGTGCTGTGCTAAAACAAATAGGTTTGGAATGTATACAAAATTGACAACTACAACACACTTGCTTTTGTAACCTACTTACTGAGCTTTTACATTCCTGAAATTTCCATCTGAACTGCTTGATTTTCATGTGAGATACAGTTTTAATACTGAAAAATAACAAAGCTTTATGATTCCATTTAAGTTAAAGAAAACATGCCACTACCAGACTCTGGCTTGTCTAACTGCATTTGCATTTGTCACTTCAGTCATTTGAAAGGGAGCAATTGGGCACTTAAGAAATAAAAAATTCATTTTGGTTTTGAGTTACTGTCTTTGTAATTCTGTCCAGTGTGCTCATTAGATAGAGCATGTTGATATCTTAGGAAACTTTGTGGTGATTCAAATATACTTTACTGTATTTATTTCCTAAGAAAAATACAAATTACTATGGATTACCTAGAGAGAAAATTCCTGTCCTTAAGTTGTTTAGTTTATTGTCCATTTATATTTTACCCAGCTGTACATAAAGACACTTATAAACTGGAGATTCTTACTGGAAAAGAAGGCAAGAAAACTATGAACTAAATATTGCATTAATTTAATTCTAACCATAATCCATTAGGATTTTATAGCATGCCACCTTTGAGGAGCATTCTGATCTAAAATATCTTGTCATATTTTAAAATGTTATACCAAAATAATTTTCTCCCTTTTCCACTTTTGATGTCAGGTGTAGAATAATCTTTAGTTACAAATCTTTGAAAACGCAGTGACATCGATGAACTACACACTGCTAAACGGTCACAATCTGCCTTGAGATAACTTGGCTCAAAAATGCTGAAATAACCCATCTAAAGGCAGATTCTCAAGTTAAACCCATTAGGCCTTTTAAAGAGAAAAAATGCACTTGGAGGTGAGATATTCAGCAGATGAGTGGTGTGCTCTGATGGCATGAAGTTCATTTTACTTAAGCATGTTGCAGAAACGAATTTTTTTCATACTTTATATATATTTATAACAAGTTGGATCATAATTTTTCCCTTTGCAAATCAAAATAAACTGTAATTGAGCTATTTAAATGGCAAGGAAAGCTGGGTAGTGACTGGAGTCAGTTTACATTGAAGACAAATGTGAAGGGATTATTCTAAATCCCATTCCCAAGACTTGAAGTGGTGCATATCCGTAGGTGGTTTTAAAGTCTGCATCCAGCATCTTTTGTTAGCTTGTGCTTGTGCCCAAGGCTGGGGGACTTGAGAGAGCACATACTTCAAATGAAATTTGTCTTCTCAGGGGCCCTGAAATTATTAATATTGGCACTGTGCTGTCATTCAGATGCAAAATTATCTTGGGATTTGGTGCTTTCTTTGGACTGTTAGCTCGCTTCTGTAGCACGAGGGAATATCTGTCCAAACTTCCCTGATTCATGAACAGTAAGGAGGGAGTGAGTGTGATCTGTGGGAAATGGAGAGGCTGGACATTACTACTCCAGATGATTCCATTCAGTGCTAATTTAGTAGAAAATGTTGGACTGTAGTAACCCAAAAGCATTTGCTTTCTTAAAAATTCATGTATTGAACTGTGAGGACTTAGTAACAACAGGGTCGACTAAAAAGTTGAAATACCCAATGTCAGGTATAATTTTTCCCATTGAATTGGGGTTTTATTGCCTTTTGGGATATACTGCGAAATAGTCTTAGTAGGTAGTCTCACTAGTTCGGTGTTTTGTTGATAGTTTTGTGGTTTTCCCCATAAAGTATTTTTTAAAAATCATAGTTGTAGGCATTTCAGGTGTGTTTTCACAGTACTCCATGGAATACTTTATAAAAGTTTATAAAAATTAAGTTTATAAAAATTAAGTTTATAAAAATTAAGTTTATAAAAATTAAGTTATCTATGTCTAAAATGTTACTTGTAGAATAGATAAAACAGAACATTTTCATGAAAACAGTACTTTTGATGATTTTAAATGCATGGAAACAAACCCTTAATTGTTCATTTTTAGTGGGATAGATTTAATAGGTCTTTTCCATCTTTAACTTCCTTAAAATACTATGAAAATTTATATAAGATTGTAATTTGGAGGTATTCTTATTAATGACCTCAGCCTGACTCTTAAAAGCAATAAGAGATGGGTTTCTTCAGAAAAGAGTTTGGAACAGCAACCATTTTTCCCTAATTAAAGGAACTCCTCAAAAAGGTTTAAATTCAGAGATGACTGTAGCGTACTTGCAGGTAAAACCATTAGAAGAACCCCTGCTTTCATATAACGATTATTATGTACCCAAATCACATTAAAAGAAAAAACCCAATTTTGTAAATGCAAGTAAAAACTTAACTGATTTTTATGTGGTCCCTCGAGTAGAGAACAAAATGCTCATAATGAGAGGTATGGGATTCAAAAGGAACTTGACTGTGTTACTACATACATGTGTTGATAAGGTTTTTCCATTTGTTTTGGTAAATGGTTTGTCTAGCGTTTCCATTGTTCCTAGTTTTACTAGTGTGCTTTTTAATCTCAATTTCTGTAGAATAAAGCATAGCTGTATAATTTGATTGAATTTACATGCTAATTGTATGTGGGACATTAAGTGCTTGACTTGAAAGAATTGCAGTGAGAATAAAGATACTGTTCTTGCCTTTAAGTGAAAAAAACCTGTGTAGATCCTGGAACAGGAATAAGCGTGAAGGGTCCTGTATGTAAATTGAAAAAAAAAAATGGGAGAGAGGGAATAAAGTAATGTAATGAAATGGGAGAAGTGTGGTTCAATTTTATATCTACAGCAGATTCACAAAAGTAACTTGAAATCTTGTTCTACGTGAAAACCACAAACCAACTAATTTTTAATGTAAAAGATGGAAATACCAGGTACATTCATGCTTGGATTTTTTAAACTGAGTTTAGTGTTGTGGAGATGGCCAAGGAATAGCAGAAAAACTGAAATTAATTATTGTTCTAAAAATACTTAATATTTTTTGGACGTACAGTGGGGTCACTGCAGTTGGCTGTGTTTCTTCTATGTTGTTATGGAGTTGTTCTGTAGGGCTTGCTTTTGCGGCTGAATACAGCAGCTGTATACAGCACACACACGATGTTGTCGTAAGTATGAAACAGCTGATTTTAAGATTGCTAGCCTCTCATCAAACCAGTGAAACTCCAGTCTTACATCTGTGTCAGACAGAGAAGCACCAAACAGAAGACCGTGGTAAAGAAAAATAAAATAGTACATATTTGTTAGTAATGATGGGATGGGATTAAGGTATTTTCATTAATTTTTTGCCTTGCAATCAATTTTTTATTTGTTTGACAGGGAATGTAATTTTATTATCAGTGAATATTTGAAATAAAAAAATCCTTTCCTAAACAAAACACCTCTCCCAAAAAAAACCCCAAACCCAAAAAATCTCGGTGCAAATCCCACCCGTGAGCAAAACAGGTCTTCCCTCTTTAAATGCTTAAGCAGGGTGGAAGAGGAAATGTAATAAATGTAAAAATATTATGTAAAAACCACAAGGATTTGTTGTAATTCTTTTTGCATCTGTTTGCTCTTGATGTTCTGGGCATTTTAATGTGTTTCTTTTTTTAAAAAAAAGTTCTATTACTGTTCATTCTTAGCTCTAAAAGGATTTATTTGGCAGTGCTGTTACTAAGCATTAAGTATTTTATCTAGTGTAAAATTGCATGAAAAACCGCTGCTGCATAAACCAGCTCCCACAGTACTGTAGAATGCAGTCTTTGAATTGCCAGCTGGAATTAGTCTTTCAAACTGCTTCCAAATGTTTTAAATATTTGTATGCTAATGGAAAATTGGAAATATTTTTGTGCATATTTAAAATAATTCAGTACATGCATTGCTGCAGATATGAATAGCCCTTTGCCCTCCTTGCTGCTCGGTCCTGCTTCTTGCCTGCCCTGTGTGCCCCTTGCATCCCTGTGCCCAGGCAGTGAGCAGGGGAAAGGAGACCCAGTGGGAGTTGCAATTCTTCTCATTTCAGTGTGGAAGGAAAGAAGAGCAAGGAGCGGGCAGTAGAGCAGGACTCTTCATAACTGTGCAGAAATAGCTTAGTTTGTGCTGTAGACACAGAATGTAATTTTGTATATGTTCTCATTAAGTGGCTTTGGTAGGATCTTCAGTACTTCTAAGAAATATATATCTTAGAACAAATAGATAAGAAGCATGTTGAGGACTTTAGATATATGAATAACATGGTTATGTTTTATGTTCTGAGTGATAATTGGTCTAAGAAGGAAAGTATTTGAAGTAATGAAGAAAAAAATGTGCACTAAAATGTTGAGCCAAATTTTTTGTGTGAGCTTGACCTGTCTGTTCACTTTCTGCAGTTGCCAAGAAGGTTACATGCAAGCCAGTAAAATACGGAAAATAGTGTTCTCCGTGATTTCTCCAGAAAAGATGCTATACGCAGTTGCTTTAAAGAAGCAAGACTATTCACATGTACTTTTTCTTGGAAGAAAATATGTAAACTGCAATTAAAAAGATGGAAATACTGTCTTTTAAAATGCTAACGGTCTTCATTCTTTGACACAATAGCACTGTGTTGTTCCATATATTATGTTTTGCTTTTAAGGGAAAGAGCATGTGAAAGGTAAGCCACAGCTCCAGTTCTAATCAGCTTCAAATCAAAAGCCTTTTCCAGAAGGCACAGAAGGAAAACTGTAATAATGAAACAGTAGTTCATTTTCAGTTTTGTTCCAGTTTGGAACATTGTGCTTCTAGAACTTCCAGCATTGTATCAGTAGCAGTTCCACATCTGACATTTTCAGAACCAGAGCCGTGCCAAATAATGTAAATAAAGTTTCTGCCTTAGTGTGTCAAGAGTGCGATTACTGCATTTCAAAAACTGAATGTTTATATAGAGTTTTTAAAGAAAATGTATGAAAGCACTGTCATATATTGAATTGCTGGTTTAAAAGTGAAAATTATGTCAACTTGCCAGTTGGGATGGCTGTGCTTTTAGAACCATTTTTGGGTATGTGTCAGGTTATCGTTGCCATGTTAGTCTTTGTGCAGTTTTTGTAATGCCACTTCATGCGAGTTCACCATCATTCTTGCATCACAATTGTGTATTTTCATATTTTAGTCGCATTGATGAATGCAAGTGACTGTAGAACGGGGGTTCTAGAGCATTTGTTTTGTAATATGTAAGTTGTTTAGGAGAATTTTTCATTGCTAAGCTTGCTTTCTGTTTGGTGTTCACTCTGCATGTTTTGAGCAAAATACATTTTTTCTATTGCATAGGGGGAAAAAGTAACAAGTAATGAAAAAGTATTTATTAGGAGAGTAAATGGCAATCCTGTATGCCTCTTATGGCTTCTAAAATGGCAGCTGATTCAGGAGAATAAAATCACTTGGTATACTTCCTGCATCATTACTCTAGACTTTTTCCTGCTTAGGGCACACTTCAGTATTTATATTAAAGATAAAAAAATAAATCTGTTTAGTTTCCATCTGCTTTTAATCCCAAGTAAATTAAGTCCAAATGTCTTGATGTTTGCTCTGAATAGTACTCTAACACCCCAAGTTGCATTAAACATGAAAAAAAATCAGTTTGAGTTTCATAGTTTTTAAAACAAAACTTTTTAACTAATAAGTTAGAGTAAGCCAGTCCTCTGAGGCCCTGAGAAAGCACAAATCTATGGAGAAATCATGCTCTTGTTTTGAGTTGCATTATGTTACTGAGCATGCATTTTTTATTCTTTGGGACTGTTGTGTGAAACTGTGTTACAAAGATTTAATAAGAAATATAATTTGTCTTATTTTATCCAGTTATAAGTATTAATTCATTACTAGCATCCTAAAAATAGAATTGGTAATTTAGCTACATATACTTTACTGCAGATGATGGCATGTAGTGTGAGTATCAGAAACAGAGTAATTCAAGTGTTGGTAGTTACTAGTAGTATGTTGTGCTTTTAGGCCTAGGTGGATAAAAGCTGATCTCGAGCATAGCAGTGTTTTGCCCAGAACCTTGAAACTACATTTGCATTTCTGCTTTATTGCTGTGGTAGTCACAGAAGTACTCACAGGTTTGAAAGTGTACGTCTAGATATTTGAGGGAGAAGGAGATAAAGGATTGATTAATGTATGTTGCTTAATTCTTGAGGCATCGGTTGGGAAAACTGGTATTGTAGAATCTTCTTTGTATGATAATTTTTTAAAAAATCAAAATTTTTTAAACAGTCTTGTATATTCAAAACTGCCAATGTGGAGGTGTATCATTAAAGAGGTGGAAAAACTGTATTTTACTAAAAGTCTTATTTGAGTTCTTGATCTTTCTCTGATTAGACATTGAGGATATTGTGCCTCTAACCTTCTGTTATTAAATTCTTCAAACTTCTGCAAGGCTTTAAAAGGGGTGTGAGGATGTAAGGTGACATACTGACTACAGGATTGGGCCGAATCATTAGTCTTTGAAGCTTGTTACTGGCCTACTCTGGTTATCCTAACCCATTCCATTTAAGACACTGTTTTCTGTTGTGTATTCCAGGTTTTCTTCTGTTGTAAAAGCATTAAATTTTCTTTATGATGTGGAAGATACGAGCTGTATGAAGTTTTATTTGAGGATTCTAACACTGAACTTGATGGAAATGGGTTAAAGAAAAGCATCAGATGTCAGATGCACAGTAAAAACAGTTCTTTATATGATTTGGCAGGTTGTTACGTATCTCTCCATATGTGTTTTATAAGTATATGAATATAATTTTTGTATTCTTAATCTGTTGTGTCGTTAAAAAGAATTTGTCTCTTCTTAAGGGGGCAAAAAAAAAAGGACTTTGTTCTGGATTAATTAAATTTCAGAGTTTCTCTTTTGTGTAAATAAATACACAATAATTAACAGAATACATGAGAACTTAATAGTTATCCTTTCTAAACTCACAGGTGTATGGAAATACTAATATGGAAAAGTAAAAGTAGATAAGTGCTCTTCATAGATTTACAGATGGGGAGATAAAATTGTGGAAAAACAGGAAGATGTGGTTTGACCTCATCTTTCAGTTTGCTGCATCTAAAAATTTAGAAACTCTCATAGAATTAAAAACCCCAAGTAATGACTCTTAGAAATGTCATCTAAACTTCTTAAATGTTGTTTCAGAATTCTGCTATAAATAAAACTAGTTCAGTGTGAACATTCAAATAAAATCCATGTTTTAATGGACAAAGTAAGTCTGAAAGCCAGTGTTTCATTAAGATGNTTTTCTTATATTTTTAGTTTTTATCTACATAACCTTAAAGGAAAAGAGGTGAAACTACATTAGTGACATGCAGGGAAAGGTCTAAATATACAAGACAGAACTGTGCTGAGAAAGGGCTGAAGTCCAAATATGTATAACTTACGTACCAATGCATCCAATAGAGGACTTCAAGTTCAGAGAGCTCCTGTGTAAAATCAGGTGCTGCCCAAATCTGGTCCTGCTCTTACTGCAGCAAAATGTCATCTTTGCCTTGGTTGTGACAAAACAAGAATAGGGTTATCAGGATTCAGGTTTATGAAGAACATAATTATCTTGCCATAGTGATAAATCTGAATGGTCGAAGAGTTAGCATCTTAGGTAGCTTGTCTGATTAGTGGGTGTGTGTACAGCTGCACGACGGTCACAACCTTCCCACTGCTTGGAATATGGTAGTGCCTTTGGTTGTTTCAGCAGTTGCTTCATGTGCCTCAGTTAATGAAGCTCCTTTATGGCTACAAGGATGCTTTTCAAAGTCTTCATCTTTTCTGCTAAGCAAATATCAGTTACACAGTGACAGCCACCACAGATGGGGGTTTGGAGTGGTATAGTCAGGAGGTGCTTAAATCAGCATTTAGCTCTTGCCAGCTACAGTTGTCTTAGTTTACACCTTTTCAGTCACTGCAGTGCACTTCCAAATACTACTTTTCTTTAATTAGAAATGTGGTATTCTCAATTAGGCATTGATCTGAGCAAGCATGAGTGGAGACTTAAGAAATATCGTAGAAAATTTTCAAAAAATACAAACTGTTTATATTTTTACTGTCAGTGATACAAATTCCTTTAATAATTCAAGGTTTGGTACAGAAACTGAATCGTTGAATGACTCTGATTCCCTAATTTTGTAATAAAGATATGAAAACTTCGTTCTCTCTCCATTTTCTAAGGATCGCCTTTAAACTGTGTGCATATCTGCTTTTATTTTAGCTTACATAGCTTGGTGTAAACTAGAATCGCTCAAACTTTATGAATAAGCAAATCCTGTCGGAGCATACCAAGTAGTTAGATGCTGATCAGATGCGAGATTTTGCAGAGCTCAGAATGAAAGTAAGTTGACCAAAATAAGTTGTTAAATAAGATGGAAATAAAGTTACAAGAAGGCAAGAACAAAGTTGAGCAGAATGTGGAAACAAACTGAATTCTGAAGGTGATCTGTGAGAAGTAGTGTGAAAGAATCTGATAATGGGTAGATATTCTGTTAACCTGTCAAAGAAATGGATGCATCGGTATGCAGAACTTCAGTTTGGAATGTGGACTGCTTTGGAGAAGCTGCTGCTTGCTTACGTGGAGTTTCTTTTTCAAGACATTGCAAATAATGTTTGTTGTGTGTTGGAATGGATGTTTGTTCATTATGTACATCAAAAGTCACAAACAGGTAACCGAAGTAAAAGCTTTTATGTTTTAGTCTGTATTTGTAACCGTTGTCTCATTAATGTGTTGATACTTACAAATTTGTCATCTGAAATAATTTTGATAATTTAGTTTTAAATTAATATTTTTAATGTAAGAATTACAGTATGAGCTTCCATCTTGAAATCTGAATGAGCCATTATGAAAAATAGTACCAAGAATCAATCTCTTTGATTAAAAATATTTAGTCTTGAATATGATGCCAACTGACTACCTTTGCGTGTGAGATGATAACAGAAGGAAATTACCTGTTTCTTACCATGTGGTCTTGGCTTAGTCCTGTGCAAAGGGGTTTCATCACTGAGGCCTTTGTACTCTGCTCTGAAGTGAAGAAAATGGTACCCAACTGGAGTGTCTTTTAAGGGGGGTAATATGGCAGAAGGGTTAATAGTATTCTTAACACTCACTGAAATGCCTGATCCATTATTCAAACTTGAAATTATTGCTAATACAGTGCTTTTCAGTCCTCTTTGTTACATGTTAGTAGGTGCTTCCTCTGCTCTGTATGAGACCTAAGGTTTATTGCTTTTTAAAAAATGTTTGATATTCACTTAGGAAGCTACTTCATTTTGGGTAGGAAGAATAACTTTATCTTGCAGGTAGTAGTGACTTCCACTAAAATAAGGAATGTGAAATGGTACTAGGAAGCAGGATAAATCCTGCTTTAGTGCAGCATCAGCAGTATGTCCAGTTGTGCAAGGAAAGGACAAAAAACTAAGTTCAAGTCCCAGCTTGCCAGATGATGGAGCTTGTACAGTAGTAGCGAGTAGAGAATCTTTGCTCTTCAGTTTTAAGCAGTTGAGTTTGCCACTTACCCTGTTTTGAAAATTTTCACAGGTTCCTTGTTGGCATTATGCTAAACTTTTAGCCCTGGTCTGAATAGTAATCTGCTAGACTAGGCAAGTGCAGGCTTGGTTTGTTGCAAGGTCTAGTTATGTCATGTTGAAACAGATCTGTAAATGCTTTCTTCTCCCCAAGACAAATTTTTGTGAGAAATGGTTCTCTATTCAACATTGCTGTGTGGTTTTGTTTGTAAACAGGTAAGTCAGTGGGCCAGTATGTGATAGAACATTTGCAGGATGCCCTGCAGTTTGTTATGGTTACTGCTGTTCCCTTGTCTTTGTCTTGAAATAAGATTCCATTTCATATCTAATGTAACACTTTGTTTCCTACCAAATACAGCTTTATTGTGGTGGAAGCTAGAAATTGGTGTTCTGCGCTTGTTATGAAGTAATCTGAGTTAGAAGTTGTCACCCATTACAGTTAGCACAGGAAAGATGTTACTTAATTCCCACAATGAAGTACCAAATCTTTTAGTTACAAACAGAAACACAGAGGGTTCCTTCTGAGCATCAGGAAACACATCTCTACTGCGAGGGTGACAGCACTGGCACAGGCTGCCCAGAGAGGTTGTGGAGTCCCCACTCTTGGAGACATGGTTCTGGGCATTGGTTCTAGGTGGCCTTGCATGAGCCAAGGATTTAGATCAGAGGATCTCTAGAGGTCCCAGCTTTAACCCTTCTGTGATTCTGTCATCTAAATAAAATTTTGACTTTATTAAACTTTATATGCTAAACCCTATTACATGCCTAGGTATTTGAATGCTTCCTTACTAGGTTTCATTTCAATATAGATGTATGTATTGAGTAGTGTTGTTAAATTTCACATTTTCAAATGAAGCACATCAAAGATGAAAGCTCTTTGAGTAAATCTTGAGTTGTTGATAATAAGGACTGTGTGACCACGTCTTGCCCTACCCTTCCCCCAGCACAGTCTTATGGCTTCAGAGATTTTAGCCCCACAAAGGTAATCAGTTCTGCTGTCATTATTTTGGAAGAGGAGGTTAGGACACTGGCCTGACTTGGCACCTTCTGCAAAACTGACAGGTAAGGAACCCTACAGGAGGGAATGGGGAGCATTGTGTGAAATTGTGCCAGGCAGTATTGGTAACACTTCAGAGGCTGTGTATCAGTATGTTTCACAATTCCTGAGGAACAGTGATCTTTTAAATTAGAGAAAATGGGATTATACACAGTCTAGGAAGTTTCCTGTGAAACTAGATTCCCCCTTAGTTTTTGGAAGATGCAAAATGTCCTCAAACTAGTGAGGTCATCACATCCCAACTATATCTAAGTATTTTTCTGTAATACAAATATATGCTGTTTTTTTGTAGTCTTAAAACTGTAAAATCTGAGAAAACTGTATCAGGCTTTGCCTATACTAATTTTTGCTACTTTAAAACAAAAAAACATTTTGAAATTAAATTGATATTAGTAGAACCATGCATATTTAAATGTCTCTAAAATCTTAGTGGTTCTCTTATCTCAGATTGCATAATTGTAAACTTGTTTGCTCAGTGTGTAGCACAGTGGTATCCTGACTTCTGTTAAAGTAATAGACCTATACTGATACTACTTAATTCTTTGCTAGCTGTGCTGGCTTAACTTGTTTACAAGCAGACTTTTCTAAATTTGTTTCAAAGTTTCTGTGATAGGTGACCTCAGAGTTTACAGAAGTTGGCAAAACAAGCTCATGAAATTTTAACTGTAGCTTCCAATGCCGAGTGATGCAGCAGTTTCAGATGCTTTTGATCTGAGTTTCTTGAGTTTTCTTTGTTCGTGAAGTCGCATCTATAAATCATTATTTTTAGGTGAAAGATGATGAGGGTTAAGGGTTAATCCCTTGCTTGTACTTTTTAGCTGTTTGTGACAATGTAAAGCATCACAAAATGCTCAGAACTTCACATCCATGTAACAGGGCATGTGAGTACTGAATGGAGACATTTATACTGTTCCTTGAAGTTTTTCTAAACTGCTCAGCATGAACGCAGTCATTGAAAGTAGAAATCTGAACATTTGAAGATATTTCTGCTGTATTAATAACAACATAGGTAGAATGGATAATTATGAAAATCAGTGATTAGCCAGCTATTCTGGTGCTGAAGTTTCCTCGATATGGGAATGTCAGCAGTATAGGGGAGGGGGCCATTTTAAAAAATACAGGATTGAGTTGCTGTTTTATATAGGATTGTCTTAGTGACTTTGACTACAGCTTGGCAGTGTGCAAGATTTTGCAAAAAATATAATGTATACATTTATATATATAACACTTAAATTATAGTGTGTGATAGAAGCCTGAGTGATGTTAAGAAGTTAAAGACTTCATTCCCTTCTGCTGATCAAACCCAAACTTCTTAGAAATCATGAGGAATCTTTTTTACAAAAACAAAAGGGATCCTCCTTTTGTTTTAAATGCATGGCATCTAGGAACATAATGACTTGTAAATGAACAATTTTTATTAATTTTACAAAGTACTTACAGATGCCAGTATCTTTGAATTCAGACCTCACTTAAGCTGCTCAGGTGAAATCTTTGTCCTTTATGTTTAAATACTTTCAGACATGGTCATCATTCCCTAAATACTGAAGTCCAGCTTCTGTATGGTGAAGTATTGCAGTCCAGGCAAAACAGAAAAACGGATGTCCCTTGA